CTGTTAAAAGTGTAGGTGGAGTCAGCATAGTTTTAAATGTAAACCAAAAGGTCGAAACCAATATTCGAGATGTCGAATATGTTCCCAGCCTTTGCGCTAGCTCGAAAGCAATGTATGTAAGGTTTTTGATGTTAAAAACGGATAAATTGCAAAAGCGCATGCAGAAAATAATTTGTATAAACTAGATTGAGCCAAAATTCGAACTGGGAAAGCAGTGACAACAATTGACTGTTTTGAGCTTTGGTACCGAATGTTAGCACATATATGCAAGAACAGGCTAAAGCACGTGCAAGTGCAGAATTTCAACGGCGAAAGTGAGAATGGATACAGTGTATGTTGTAAGGGTAACTATAAATACAACTAAATCAGCTGGTATTCGTGCTGAAAATTTGTTAAACGTTGTACATGCGGACGTGCTTGGTCCAATTAGCACAAAATCGTTCAGCGGCGCAAGTGGGTTTTGTTAACGATTTTTCGAGAAAGGTATTCGCTATACCGATAGTATACAAATCAGGCTCATTTAAGAAATTCGAGCAATTTAAAAGTGAAGTAGAAACTCAATGTGGTACTGAATATTGTCATTCATAATTTATAAATTTGATGCATGAATGTGGTATTGTTCATCAAAAAACAGCTGCATATACAGTAGGACGGGGGTTGCTGAGCGGATGAATCGTACATTAATTGGGCGTGTGAGATGCATGTTGCTGGATTCTGGCCTAGAAAACATATTCTTCCCTGTAGAGGTAGTAGTCGAAGTCCGGAAGAAATATGGTCCGATTTGAAACCGAATTTGAAACACTCACGCAAATTTGGTTGCATAGCGATGGTTTATAAACGGAAGCAGAAACGTTAGAAGCTAGATGCAAAATCTGATGAGTGTGTTTTTGTTGGATAAAAAAAAAGCATATCGTCTTTACCGAAAATCTGACGACAAAATTATGGATGGGCTTTAGTTTAGCATCCCACGATTTCAGGGTTAAGAGGGGTATGGTTGGATAGAAGAGATTCTCCAGATCACGAATATATATAATTACCGCCGGAAACTTATAGTTTTGGAGATATTTGCAGTTTAAGTTGAAAATTTTACAAATTTTATTTTACAATTTCTCGATTTATGGTTATCTTTTCTTTTAAATTATGCACTTATTATACACTAACTTTTCACTTCAATGTTTCTACATATTTATTTTATATTAAATATTTAAGTATTTACTTTAAATAAGCATTTAATTTTTACACAATTTTCGTTATATGAACAATAACAAATGGATAATAAGTGTTGCCATACCCAAACGAATGAAAGCAATCAAAATAAATAAAAAACCCTCTATGAAATATTATGAACTTAATTTTCCATTTTAATAAAAGAAAAAGGTTTTATGGTTTAAACGTATGTTTTATTGCATCTGATAATTTCACATATGGATCATGATGCTGATATGCTATATGTTTACGCCATATGTATTCATATATCAAATTTTCAAAATCTTCACTGTTATTATAATTATCGTTAATAAAAATTTAAGTTTATAGAGAGTGATATACCCTCTTTAACATTACTTTTATTTGTTAAGATTTCTTATTTGCACTAATAATAATATTGAATATATAATATAATATTAAATATGCAAATATAAATATATAATATATACAGAGAACGATATACGTTCTCTGATAAATATATATATATATATATAATATATGGCAACACTTGTTAACTGTCAACATGGAACCCATTTGTAATTGTTCATATAACGAAAATTGTGTATTCGTCATCTGGAGAATCTCCTCTATCCAACCATACCCCTCTTAACCCTGAAATCGTGGGATGCTAAACTAAAGATTTCTCAAAATTATTGTGAGTCATGATGCTACATTTTTAGAAAATATCAGCAGTAAATCCAAGTGCGCAGAGTCAATTCTAATTGTTGACATTATTAATGAAAATGAGGCTAACGACATTAACAATCCAGGGTAGGTGAATGAAAGCGAATTGTCTGATGTCAGTAAATCTTCGGAAAGTGAGTACGATACTCCTGATGAAAGCGAATCAGGTGATCAGCGTAACAACAAGTGTGCAATTCGTCGATCGGAGGATATTGCAAACAAAGCAAAAGGTTTTTTGTTGTTCAGCGTAGTGTCTGATGCTGATGATCCTGTGGAGCTTAAAGTAGCATTGAATAGTTCAAAAGCAGGTGACAGGAAATGCGCAATAGAAGAAATTCTCACAAGTCAAACACAACTTGGGTGCTTCCGAAATTGCCTGAGGTAAAATAGCAATAAATTCGAAGTGGGTTTCTAAAACTAATTGCAATACTGAAGGTAAGCTGGTTCATTACTAAGCATGTGGACATAAACGCGAAAAAAGTTGCAAGATAAGTCATTACTGCTGGAATATATTTCTACAAGCGAAATATTAGCAGATGGTTTAACAAAGACGATACCTGCTGTTAAAAATGAATTTATTAATGTTAAATTAGGCTTAAAATAAAGTCATGAAACATTTAACATATTTTGAACTTTAACTAACATACTCTTAGTGTTGTCAGATGTTCTATTAAAGGGAAGTGTTATGAAATAATACAAATCTGGCAGAACTAATTTTTATTTTATTTTTACACTGTTCTTATGTATGTTAGTCAGTCCGCATCTTACATTGAAACTGCTTTTACCTATCTCTGCTCAACAGCCTGGAGCCATTTATCTTTAACTTTAGCACGGATACATAATTGCCGAAGTAAAGACAGATTCATCTGCAATGGTGGAACAAAGGACAGTTGATGTAGTATCTAGAGTGGTGTTCGCGAACAAACTGGTAGATCACGACCTATGGTGGGGATGATTATTGGATTGAGAAATTCCATAAAAAAGACAATTTAAGCTTGTAGTCGCTCATCAAATCATCCAGAATTCCGAGTATCTATCTCAACTCCATTTACATACATACATTGGTATAGACTATGCAGGACCGATCCATGTGAAATGTTCAAAAGGAAGAGGGTAAAACGATTTAAAGGATATATAGCTGTATTTGTATGTAAGGCAACAAAAGCTATTCATTTAGAAGCAGTAAGTGATTTAACAACCGAAACTTTCCTAGCTGCTTTGAAAAGATTTTTTGCTAGAAGGGGTAAAAGGCAGCATATATATTCGGACAATGGAACACATTTTGTCGGAGCTTGTAGAAAATTAGCCCTAGATTTCAGGCAATCAAGAAAAACTCAACAGTAGCTGCCATATTAGAAACGAACAAAATTCAATGGCATTTTGGACCGCCGGCAGCTCCTCAGGGAAGCAGGAGTCAAGTTAGTACTTTACTTTTGATTACTTTACTATCACAGATTGAAGCAGTGCTGAATTCGAGACCTCTATGTCGGCTTGATAGTGAAAGCGATATAGACGTTTTAACACTTGGGCATTTTTAATAGGATGTCCTATACCCATGGGCTCGTAAGATAAGTGGAAATTAATGAAGATGAAGAAACTCATCCCACCAAGTGGCCATTAGCTAAAATGATTAAAACTAATACTGGAAGTGATGGCAATATTAGAGTTACCTAATACTGAAAACGCAGAACGACAGATGCCTGCATAATGGTTGCAGCAACATTAAAGGGCAGATATAATCATGGGTGTTTTAGAATCTGATAGTTGTTGGAATCAGAATTGAAACCGACGAAAAATTTAGAAGGTGTCATGAATTCAGATATTATTGGTTGGACGTTCGAACTGACATTTTTGATTTTTGAGCACATATAATGTCGGTCTTCCCGGGCTATTGCTGTGAAAAGAGAGGGAAAAGCATGGGAGATAGTGTCGCTTGCGTCGGTGTTTGCAACAGTATTTGTATGCAAATTGCAGAGAAATCATGTGTTTCATAATTTTATTTCCTGTAAAAACCAGTACATAAGAAAACGAGACGCTTACTCAGTTTGCTATATTTGTGGCGAATTTAATAAAATGAGAGAGAAAAATGTGGTTTAGCTAAGAATTTAAAGATTGCTAAGCATATCAAGCTTTCTTCAATCTACCCGTTAAAAATCAGGACAGAAATGGGCTCCACAAGTGTCATGTAACTCTTGCAGATATATTCTGGATGGTGAGTTTATTTCCTCTTTTTTATAATAATTATTAACTACAGTGTAACCTTGATATAGCGAATCTGAAAGGAATTAGAAAATATATATTTGTTATATCAAGTTATTTGTTACAGTGAGGTTTTTATATATATACTATTTGCAGGTAGCCCGCTTTCTTCAGCAAATCTTTATTTTGATTTCAAAATTGTAGCCAATGCACTTGTTGAAATGTCAAACTTCCTGGCAATCTCAAATTTTTTTACTAAAGTTTTTCGTCTACAAACTTGATTATTTTTCGTTTCTCTGCAACACTTAACGAACACCTCTTACGTTTTTCAGCCATTGCAACTTAATTTACTGGATCAAAGGACGAAGTTTACAATTAGTTTTTAAAAACTGTTTTACGGAAGATTGTAGGTGGTGATCGTGGTTGCAGCGAAAGAGGAAGTAAAAATTTGAGCTTTTCATCCTCAGCTTCTTGGAAAAATCGCAAGTAGCTGCGAGCCAATCAAATCACCAGCTTTTGCCAGCTAGTGGAGGGAGTGAGCAAACTATAGTCAAAAAGCGATTAACTAAGGAGGGGCAGGTGTTTTTGACTACAGTCAAACAGCTGACGAGAAAAGCAGTCATATGAAGGTTGTGGATCCAAAAATTCGTTAAGTAAAGGTCAAAAATAGTTTCGATCTGTTTTTTGCTGAGTCTAAAAATTGGTTATAGTGAGGTTGAAAAAAAATTATTCGTAATACAAAGGTATATTTNNNNATGAGCTCTTATGGGCAGTGCTAAGGGATTTTGAAAAATTCGTTATATCATGGAATTCGTTATATTGAGGTTTGTTATATCAAGGTTTCATTGTATTTTGATAACATTAATTAGGTCATAATATGTCACTTTTTTATTGTAGGCTGGTACCGAGGTGAAAAAAGAGCACTGAAGTTTGCAGTGCCTCGATTTTGGAGGAAACCAGGTTATCATCTTTGAAATATTTGAATTTTTTCCAAAGCTTTCAGAGGCGAAAATAAATATGGGAACTTTTTATGCCGGTAGTCAGCGAGCAATCTCTAGTCTTTAATAGAGACTCATCCATGGCGAAATCTATTTAGAGCCTGTTTGGTATTCAGTCGATAGTGTCTCATCTCTAATTGAGCAATATCAGTCTCTAATTTGTTATTTACGTTAAACCAGGTCACAAAAAAAAAGAGCGAAAAAATGGAGGATGCAATTGGGCTAATATATATCGTAATGAAAAAACGAGACGAAGAAAACAAGTAATACAAAAATTCTTGTAATTTTGCAATAATGAATAACAAAGTGCTTATATCCTATACCTCATCCAACAACTGAAACCGTAGTTCATTTTAGCTCTATATTTTTTACGCAATGGCTCATACCAGTGTTGCGTGTGTTGGAAATGGATATTTCTCGGTGATAAATCTAGCGTTTCTCGTAGTATTGAACAAATTTGTAAATGGTTGAAGATACAATAGAGTTAAGACTGGGTAAGTTGTTGTCCAAACGACACAACAGTCACCGACGCAAAACCGTGGACCGAATCAGCTGATACAACCTATCTTATGAGAGCGCAATATAAATGAACAGTCACCACCGCTTCTACCGTCCGTTTCAACAGACCGTACGGTAGGATATCCGCGAAAATTGGATTTTTTCAGTAGAAACGAGTGAGCTGAGAGCGAGAGGGCAATCTCTTGCAACGCAGGGTTGCCAATCTCCATATTTTGTAGTAATTAAAAAATGAACATGAATATATTTGAAATAGTCTTAAAATAACTCAAAATCACAGTCGAATACGCTTATGTATAAATAGGTAACCTATTTTTAGCAGTTGGATTTTAGTTTTAAGCTTCTACATAATAAAAAATTATAACTAAAAAACTAAATGTGTGAAAAATCGTGTATACAAATAGAAGAACAGCAACATTGGTGAAATGAAAACAAAAGAGAACAACTGATTTCTGCGTTGCACTACAGGGAGGAATGTCGGTGACTGTTTGTGGGTGTAGTTAGAGAAATTGATTGCACTCATGTTGGCATAATTGCACCTGCCTCGTCAACCACAGTTGTGCCACATGATTACATGAATAGAAAAGGGTATTACAGCATTAATGTTGAAGCGGTAAGTATTAAAATTAATTATTATTTAATAACTGATTTATGTATCCCATAGGTTTGCGTGAATGCAAGATTTCCGGGCTCATGGCATAACTCCAATATATGGACAACTTCACCAGTATGGATAAAGCTTATAAGAGAACACTCTTATGAGCCTTTAAATGGCTTTTGAGTGATTCAGGATATTCATTGGAGCTATGGCTTCTTTCACTGGTGACAAATACAAATGAGCAAGAAACACTATAGAAAGAGCATTTGGAGTTTTAAAATCACATTTTCGTTGCATTTCAAAAGAACGTACTCTGCAGTACAAACATTCAAAAACTGCATTATTTAGATAGAGCTGATTAATATGATAAGCTGATCACTGACAGGATTACGATTTTCTTCTGTCATTGGATGTAATGTCTCTAAAGATTCACATTTTTACACTCTTATATAGATTAAATTTAAAGATAATATGGGAACTTTCTCGACAGAACAAGGAGAACAGCTCATCAAGCTTATAATAGAATTTAAGAGAAGTTACCAAGGCCAGTATACAGTATTGGGGACTATATTTCCGGTTTACTAAGAGAAACTTCCACAGACCATAACAGGAAAGTTAAAACTGTTAATTTTCAACATTTTAAAATGGGATTGCTCGTATCTTTTAATAAATTATGCCAAAAATGATGTTGACACCGGTCAATAGCATTTTTGGCACGGTATACATACATCACCAATTTTCTAATTGACAAAATCATGGTATAAATCCAAAACTATTGAGGCTTAGATTACAGTTATTAGAAACAAGTTACCACACCAATTAGTTACTATCTGGAAAGCAATCGGGTTATGAATTAAAAGAACTTTATAAGTCGATGACTGTAAAAAATTGTTCATTCACGACTGGTCATAAACATAAGAATTATTATAAGCGCATGAAACAAATATAAATTCAATCGACTTCCAATAAAATAACAAAGCGCGTATAAGTATTCCAGAATTAAACAGAGATATTTAGTATACAGTTTTGATTGTATTCAATATCCACTGATAAACCAAGTAGATTTAGTTCAATGTTCAACTAACTGGAGAATATTATCAATGTTTGGAAATCAGCTACGGATAATTCATATGAAGTAGGCAGTTCAACAAGTTCGATCATGAAGGATGTGGATTCAACCTTACTACAATAAATGACAGCATCTCATCGTGTACAATCCGAGATTTATAAAGATGCTATTCTTCTTCATTCAAATAAACTTCTAACTTCAACTAGATTTGATTCAATATTAATAAACAATTCCAAAAAATATCCCAAATCTTTACTTTAGTTTTATAACAAGAACTGTGACTGATTCCGTTTGAACTTCGAGTTAGAAATAATTAATAATATAATATAACATAATAATTAGTATTAAAAACCAACACAACTTTGGCTCCAGGCAGAATGTTCATAAAGGACATGAATATAAAATTTGTTACCATATAATAAAATGATATTTTTGAAACATTTCATACATGAAAATTTTCAAGTGTTTTTGAGAAATAAAATATTATATTAGGATGCGTCACTCACTAAAAAAAACATTCGGTACGAAAATAGCTTACGGTAAGAGAAAAGCTCTATTTGCGATGTTTTATAAAATGAATTGAGTTCGCTTAGCCTAAATTAAGGAGACTCCGGTGGTCTAGGATTTTCAAAAATCATTTTTGGTTCATATTTCGTTAGGAAAGTATATACTCCTTAGAGTATATGTCGATGTTTTAAAAGATATTCCAATCATTTCGCGTTTTATGATATCATTCTGTACAGTACTGCTATCGATGTGGGACTAGAATATTATATGTCAAAAATCTATTTTTATCATTAACAAAAAGTTGAAAAAAATGGTAAATTCCAGACTAGTAACTTCGACAATGTGCCATTTTGTCAAAAAAAATTTAAATGCTTTTTTTTCATGAAAATAAAGGCTAATAAAATATGTGTAAGAAATTTAATTTTTTTCATCAACGTCACACTGAAATTAATTCGCTTAAAATAGGTATTTTTTCGGACCTCTAAATATGGACAAAACGAGTAAGTACCATATATTCACTTTCGAACTTTCATTATTATTGTAGGATTGAGGAGCGTCATTACATAGGGTTGTTAGGTAACTATTTTAACTACAAAAAACTTTATTATTTAATTACAATATTTTAATAATTTTTTGTTAGTAGCTGTAACATTGTGCAGTCTGCATAGTGATGAAAAGTGCTCCGTTAATCTGAAAATATTACATTATGCATATTAAAAAGTGAAAGAATATTAAATAATGCCTCATATAGTTTCCTTAAAATAAAATAATATTCTTATAAGAAAAATATAAAGGATGTACAAAGAAAGTTCGATTAAATTTTGATATTGAACCATAATTGAATTTCGTACAACAAAGAAAGATGTGATGCGACGTAATATTAATAATAAAAAGCATAACAACATTAACATTGATTGTGAATCAGACATCATAGAGTGAAATTAATGCATTGATAATACACGAAATAAAAAAGTTACTCCGGAATTATTTGGAACATATCTTTTTGTTCTGCATGTGTACTTACAAATGCACCCAAAAAAGCAAATACAACACAACTACCGCCCGTCAAAGGATATTGAAACCTTATTCAAGATACACTTTGAACGTTTACAGCCAATTATGAACGTGAGTTCAGGGATCTTAAAAATCATTTTAAGTGAAATCGAGGACTTAAGAAAAGAGGTAAGCAAACTGTCAGAACAACGTCTCGCTATCAAATCAATGTTCTGCCCTGGATGACAGACTTACATCAGTTGTGAACAAGCTAAACGTTATGATTATATGATACGATATGGGCTGCCTACCAGCCAGGAATAGTTTTTCACTGAACTGTAGTACTCCACAGCCTCCACCTGGACGTACACGTCCTCTTCGCATTGCCACCCGCTCAGCAGCCGATGCACTTGCCATTATCAAATACAGACCAACAGACGAAAACTCAGGTTTTATTTTCAAGACTGATCAAACTCCCTCTCAAACAACTTCATCTGATTCAGCAGGTTAAGATTGGAATGCAAAAGTTAAGTATCGATTGCTACAAAAGTTATGTCGACAAGGTAGAGGACAACTGCAATCGTAGATCAAAGCCTTCTGGAATTTTATCAGGACAAAAACCGTTGCACCGTGACATACATCTTCCGTAGCCTGGAATGACCGCTCAGCAGATACGGGACCAGGTATCAGTAACCTCTTTGCGTCTTCTTCCACAGCATCTACGCGCCATCGAATAGCAACGACCCAGGTATTGCAACCTTCAATCCTGGTACACAGTGCACTCACTTGGATGCCCTGACAGTGACCTACGATGCACTACTCAAAGAACTCCTTGCCTCGACCCCAGCAAAGGTCAGGCCCCGATGGTTTACCTAACATATCATCAAAACTGTCGATAGGCCTTTGACACATATATGTGAGCCTTTGACACATTATTTGGCGAATCTCTTCACCATGTACCTTCCCGACATACTGGAACTGTCATACATCTCACCAATTCATAAGAGGGGTCAAGACCTTGGTTACCAACTACCGTCCTATCTGCTTACAGTCTGCACTGCAAAACTATTTGAGAGGTTAGTGCTTCCACAGATACGTCAGGCATTTGAAAACAACATAACAACAAACAACATGGCTTTACTTGTGGCAGATCCACCACTACCAATTTATTCATATACGTCGACAACTGCTGAACTCCATGGATTCCGGCCACACACACAGCATTTCACAGACTTCAGAAAGGCTTTCGACCGTGTTGACTACGAAATACTTTTAGATAAGCTAAGTAAATATGGTGTGGCTGGACGTACATTAGCTTGGATACGTACATACCTCACAGGCAGACGCTTGCAAGTCAGAGTAGATGGCCACTTATCCACTGAATATGAGGTAATCTCTGGTGTGCCACAAGGATCTCACCTTGGTCCTGTAATATTTAACATCTTCGTCAACGACATTGGTAATAATTTTGCTTCTGATTTCTTCTGTATGCTGATGACCTCAAAATATTCAGACCGATTACTTGTGAGACAGACATCATAATTTTGCAACAAGACATAAATATCTTCAGTGACTGGTGTTCAGTGAACAAGCTGGATCTCAACGTAAACAAATGTGCGGCCGTATCTTTCGCTCGCTCACACTCACCGATCCGCACGAGCTACAAACTTGATGGGCTTGAGATAGGGAGGTCGAGAACATAAAAGACTTAGGTATCATTGTTGATAATAAGCTCACCTTCTTCACCACGCAGAAAATTACATCAAAGGCGTTCAAAGCCCTTGATTTATACTGAGGGGTGGTAAAGATTTCAAAACCCTTGGACACTCATTAGACTATTCAAGTAACTTGGGTCGGTAATCTGGTCTCCTACACTAACACGACAATCGATAAAGTTGAAAAGGTGCAGCGTAAATTCTGTAAGTCACTGGTTTATAAACTATCGTCACCAAGTCAAATCTGCACTACTGATGAGGTCTGCCAGTGCTACTGTATAAACAAACGTTCTCTCGTCGACAAGTCGCTGATCTCTGCTTTTCTACAAAGTAGTCAATAACATACTGATGCTCATGAGATCCTAAACAGTTTGAACTCGCCCTGCTGGTCTTACCCTGAGGCGAAATAGATTACTAAAAACATCGAAATTCGAGAAAAATATGTTATCCATGGTCCTCAGAATAGAGTGGCTAATTTAGTAATTCACTTCAAGGTGAAATTGATTCTATGGAGGAACATACGCTGCTTTTACCGAAAACACCAAGAGCAACCTGCTCGTCTGAATTACATCTAAATCAAGTTGAATTACATATTAACTTACAATTATTTAAATATTTTCCAGATATTACACTTAATTACCCTAGCCACTTTTGTATAATACTTTAATTCTTTATTATATCTATGTATATTGCCGATTGGCGTTTAAATAAATAAATAAATAAACAGTTCCTTTATTATTTTAAATAAATTTATATTTACGTTTATTCGTATTTATGAAGTCGCTTGACGCAACACCGACCACCTTGACCGGATCATGATCCTTCAACGTCGATAGGCAGCAGGGCGAGTTTATGAATAGAGTGCTTGATTGTGCCTGCCTTGGCTCCACGTCTGCCACTTGTACCTAGCCGATGAAGTTGGTCCCTCTCCGACCAATGAACCTTTTTAGAATTAGTAATTAGGCCGAAACATTCTAAATGTCTGTGGTCAACCGCGTATTTTAAATATTGTATATAGTGGACCACAAAAATCTACGCACATATAGAAGGACCACAGCGCTCGTAGTTTATCGACTAGAAAATTTCCCATTATTTGGGTTCGACTTGTAATGAAAGCAGTGTGTATGGTTAATTACGGTTCTACTGCATACTTCTCTGGCATTAATCAGTCCTATGCGTTCTTGAAAAGCGCAACCAATGCTTTTGGCCAAGCTTGGTGATTTCAAAAGTGCATGAACGTAAATAAGTGATAACGAAGTGCGAATTTTTATTAAGTAACAATGGAAATTTGGCACCGTATAGGAGAGGTGCATTTACTGACGCCTACTCGGATTAATTTGAATGAAAGCGA